CCGGATAACTGATGATTGCTATTGAGTATTATCATTAAGTGATGGCTTGTTAGTACACACGTCATCAATGGATCACCATTACCACTATTGTTTAACCGCAACGATGATTTCAGTTTCAGTAACATTAACGTTTTCCAAGATGGCGAAGGGGGAGGGGCATATTTATTTTTGGACTCTATTGCGTCCTCGATGAGCTGGGCAGTAATTATTTCAGACATATATAATTTGTGAGTTTATTTTGTCGTGTGTTATTTTACTATTGTTTGCATGACTTCTAAATCGATCCTAACTGCATCACTTCAGTAACAACAGGTGTCAATATTATTTATTACTTATTTACGCCAGAAACCAACAGCGCTTAAGGTCAACTATGAACTTTGGCTTAAATTTCCTTATTTTGTTCAAGCGTTTTTACAAAATTTTAAATCGACATCAATGACAGCGATGGTGATGATGTTACCCCACATTTACAGTGAGATAGGTTCAGTTTGCGACGGTTGCTCTTCTCTCCTTAATCTGGACATAGCGCGGATAATAGACTGTTGGTTTCTACATCTCCATGATTGACCTACGGTCCATGATGTCACGGTAACGATGCTATCGTCACAGCTGTATCTTCACTTTATGTACTACAATTATGGCATTAGTGAAGTATATTATTAGTAGAATGTTTAAGTACCAGTGTCAATTAATGGGGGATGACCAACTACATCTGATACAGATATATCAATTTCCCTGAAACGATACGCAATAGTTCGTGTCGACTGTATTCTATTTATTATTTACTTCATTTATTTACTCTCAGTCAATGACACATGCGGCTACAGCCATGAACAATGAAAGTATTTAACAGATCCAAAGCATATAATAGGGGCTGTATCAATTACCTCTAGCTGCCCATGCGCGGAGAGGAAAATACAGGATGACACAAGAAAATGCAACCAACTATTCTTTAATAAAAGTTCCCATCATCATGGTTTACTTGTAGCATCAACGTCTTGAGATTTAGAAAAATTATGTTGTGAAAGAAGAAATCTTCGTTTTTCCCGAAAAGTGGATAGGCATCATAAATATCGACGATATGTTTTGGTATATATTGTACCCCACACAAGTTTTTGATAATAACTTTGACCACTCTACCCTATACTATTTATTATTAAATTTAGCGCACATAAACTAGAGACAATTCCCAACATTGGATTATTTTTTTTTGCTTTTAATTTAGTTCAATAACAATAAAAACTATTTTTCTTCTTTTCACAACCTTTATTTTACTAAACAGGACATTTCGGACCCTGTATTGTTTTTATTTAATTGTTTTGTAGCGCTTCAGTTCAGTTTTTATAACAGTTAAAAAAGGATACAGACAGGATTCGAAACGTCCTGTTTAGTTAAATAAAGGTTGTGAAAAGAAGAAAAATAGTTTTGTGATTTAATAACCCCAACCTGAAGAACATGTTTAAGAACCAAGGGTATCATTAATTCTTTTTAACCAAATTGACGTCATAAAAATCAAAATTAAGAATTGCTGATTTTAACAATTTCATTTACTTATCACTTATTTGAACAGTAACACTCTGTAGGCCTTTAAGGTATCTTCGAATATTCTATCGGTAGTCAGTCCACCTTTTTCAAAATGAAATTCCCTGACATTTCCAGACAAAAAAAGGAAATTTCCAAATCTAATTTTGCTAGCCCGGCATCCTAAAAAGTCTCAAACTGTATTATTTAAAAGATAAGACTTAAAATTTTGAAACATTTTGGGTTTCTAGTTAAGTACCATTTCTCATGACTTAACATTACTTCTACAGGCCGTCTTACTAGTATTCATCTATTTATTCCTGATACATTATATTTTTGATTTTACATTGCTTAAGGCCAAAGTAAACATACATGACGATGTACAGGGGTGTTGCCAACAAATGTCAAGGGCGCATTTTTCTGGGTTTACATCACGGCGAGCAAAGTAAAACCCAAAAGGGGGGTACGGGGGTTCACTCCCGGAATTTCTTTTAATTTCCATTGTTTATGGTGCATTCTAAGCATTTCAAACTATAATTTGTTGATGTTTCAGTGTTTTTATGAATCCAAATGACAACTGAAACTTAAACATTTTGATCTAAAATCATACTAGATAAAAGCAACTCCATTGAGGGGCAATTCCCACATAATGAAACATTTTATCAAATACTGATCATTGTGAACATTATATGATAGCAATAACCTGACATTACTGTTGTCTTCTCCCTTTTTGGAAAATCTAAACCAAAACATGATACCATATTTGAAATATATTTTTATCGCCCTGACAGATGGAGAGATGAATACACTGACGTACCGACTGTTGAACAGACAGCTTCTCAATATGAATATACTTTTTACACTGAAAAGTTCCCTGAATTTTTTATTTTTCACCTCCCATCCTCCTCAGATTAACCCATAAACAAAACATGAAACATATACCGGTAGTTAACTTTGAATGGTCTAAGACTAACTCACTACATGGAAAAGCATTATTTCTCAAAATCGCAAAGTCGTTGAGTATATTTTAATAGTTCACCATTCTGCTGGTATGCCAGCCCCTCTTATCTGCCGTTTGCGAGAGAAGGATAAAGACAAAGGGGGCGCGGCTATATCGCTGTAGTTTAACATTCATGATATTTATAAGCTTTTTATTACAGTGCACATTTACGTTTGCAACTGGATTGATTAACAGCGGCTAAAATTGAATTGTAACTTGAAATAGTTATGTAATGAATCTCAAAACAGCCATTTTGAATACTACGTAGTAGTTAGTATATGATATGTAAATGATGTATACGAATACAAGTATGATTGGTATGTATATACAATAATATTAATGATAAGATTGGTATTTATATACTATATAATTAATTATCGTGCAAAATCATGTCATCTGTTCCAAGAATTCCAAGCCCACATCTATAGAATTGCAATTAATTGATACATATTTCATTTGATGCATATGTAACGATTCGAAAGAGATAATTGACACTGTTATTATGACATCCTCCTTTCACCAATATCATAATTATAGGGTGGGCCATAAAGATTATTCCATTCTTTATTCTCCAAAAATATGCACGGTGTCTGTTTAAATGATGGAAATAATTAACTTTATTTTATAGCTGTTTTAGCAGTAACGCACAATGCTCCTTGTATCAAGCAAAGATGAGACAACATAGAGATACGACGTCAGATACTGTACATCGCGGCATTTTACTGCATTTTTAATGCGTACTTACTTTTAAAACCGCAATATCTCGACAGCAAAATCATATTTTTCTACAATTTTTCGTCATCAGTTGAACACGTATGTCCATGAAATATTTTGCCTATCAGAATTCCAAATAACTGATTTGGAACTTTTTAAATGAGAATCACGCAAGCCGTATTATGCGACTTTCTATGCTAAAACCGGGTGTCGACTGTAACATTTTGAAGAAAAGTGATTTTAGGTGAAAAATGAAGATAACTTTTTCATTTCCCAACGGATCTTTCTCAAGTTTTCACAATATTTAAATTCACCATTTTGGAAAAGACAAACAGATTCTGTGTGATGACGTCATAATATAACAATGCTTACTTAACGCTTATATTTATGCGAAAAAAGTGTCGACAGGCAGAATTTCGTACCAACAAGATATATATTTTGATCAATTAAACATTAAATCGTTTGAAAGGTGAATTATTCTTTTTAGATTCCTGAAAGGCATATCATATTCTATATTTTTATCAAAAAACTATATCATTTCGATTAAAATTCAGTCTGTAAGAAGTATAAATTGAAAGAAATATGAAGTGAAGCCATGCGAAAAATTCACAAAATTACGTTTCATTTTTTGAGTTCAAATATTTCTAATAATTAAGGGATAAACATTCAAAACTTTCCAATGTTTCAGCATGTTCTTTTAAATATACCCCTTACTACATACAATTAATTTCATTTAATTTGAACCAGTATATATTGAGATAGACATCGTTTTATCACCGCAACCCGAAGTGAAGCCTTTACAAAATAAGACGTTACGCCGTTAGCGTATTATATGTTCTCCTTTATTATTCATTGCTTTAAATAAATAAAACTAAATATTCGAGTTATAATAAATTACAAATAATGCATTTAACAATCCTTAATATCTTCCCGTCTGTGTTTATCAGTTGAATATGACAAGGGGCATTGTGAAAGAGTCTAGAAAGACGGTGCGACAACGAGAGCGCAGGGCCGAAAAGCGCGACAAAGAAGAAAACGGGTAGGGTTTGAAATGTCTACTTTCTGGTGATTCTAATTCTGTATATCGTGACACAACCTTTTTGAATATAGAATTGTATTGAAGCGCACATTAATCTGAACAAAACTTGAAGTTTTTAAGAAGATTCCACGAATATTAAAACGTTTGCAATTACTTGGAGGAGCATTGCGCATATTTATCGCGTAAATCTTTGCATTTTGTCGGTAAAATGAACAATTACACTGTTACGCCGTGATGTTGTAGTATCTGACGTCGTATCAGAGTAAAACCTGTGTATATTGAACATTTTTTGCCGACGGAAAAAACGTTCGGTGTTGGTAAGTGTTCGATCATTATGAGAGAGTGTTATTTATACAGAACAGAAGTCGGTAGAGTATGCATGGAGGAAGGATGTCAGACAGATGTTCACTAGAGAGAGGTGTTCACTAAGACAGGTGTTGGTGTACATCATTTGGCTTAAAATGTCCACAAATGTTAAAACTCATTTTACGTTCATTTGGTTCAAATACACTTTAAAATAAAACTTTTTAAGTAATAAGATGTGTACAATATATGTTAAGAATAGTTACATATTGGTTGCTTCTTTGGCCCACCCTGTACTACTTCCTCTTCAATCGTGGGTTGACTACGATAGGTTCATTCATAATGCACCCTGCTCATATGACTAAGCCTCGCATCATTTCATCAAGGGTGAATTACGTCGTCATTCATTTGTTTTGGCTCGAGCGATTATTTCCATATAAATATAAGAGCAACTTCCGTGTTAAAGTAACACATGACATAGACCTGAGACAACGCAAGGATTTGTCTAATATTTCAAGAAATGAAGAACTTCTCCTGCCAAATAACCGGAGCATTACTTTTATTATGCATTTTAGGTAAGACATTAAATTACATTTAACTTTAATTTTTATCAATTCATTTCTTCATTAATTTGCAAAAGTCAGTTATTTTCAATTTAAATTCTCCATCTGACCATACAATTAAGATATTTCGGAAATAGCAGGCTGTGTAGTCGCAAAAATGTTAGACAGAATCGTTTGTGTAGAAAACTGGCAATCACAGTTAGTGTGCAGTTATAATTTGAGGTAAGCCCAAATCAAATGTTATTGATAATGATAGGCAACTTTGTTTAAACGTATGGTCCGGGGCCCTGATTTTGTATAAAAAATGAATAGCAATCGTTGATGGGCAAAAACAAATTGAGAATGTAGGACCGTCTATACCGGACTTCTGAAACTACAATGTGTTCAACGCAATGAGTGTAATTCTCTTGACCGCATGTCAGATCGCTTGGAAACAACGTTCTTTGGAGAGTGAATGAATGAATCAAATAATACCTAAAATATCGTGGTATTATTCCATACTTAGTAGTGTTATAGGTAGATAACATGCAGGAATATAATTGATATCTGAAGTGAGCGGGTGATATCAGCGGGTGATATATATACCACCCGCTGATATCACCCGCTCATCAGACCTACTCTGTCACAAATTTAGATCTAGTAGATACTGAGCCAGGGGACTTGACTATGAACCCTCATAATCTTCTAAGTATAGAATAAATCAGTTATTAAATGCTCAATTTTTGATACAGGGTATCCCTCGGAAAATACAATATTTGTCGCAGATATATCCTGTCCCACGGTCAAAAACCTCCCATTAAATAACCTCTATTCCACCCTTTCGAGAATTAATACAATAAGTAGGTCTTGGTATGTGTTCATATGTGTTCATTGTGTCTCTATAAAAGTTATTACGCAACAGATTAAAGCTAGAATCAGAGTTATGTAGTAATACGTTAATGAATTAGAACCTATGTAGATGATGTAAACTTGATCCCATATCGGTTCTTCCTGGAAATCAGGCCAACAGAATAATTGTGGATACCAAAATTTATCATTTAAGGACTTAAAAGCCCATGACTATTCTGAGAAAATCTTGAAATTTTGTTTTTCGGAATGAGCTATAATAATATTAATAATCAGTAAAAAAAGTCATGGCAATTGATGGAATGAGACAAATGTTACTCAGAAGAAGACAAAGATCTCCTCGTTAAATGACACCTTCAACTTAATTAGAAAGTACTTGGGGGAAAAAAACATCATGGCACTTAGGCTGCATGTATCAAAATCTTTTGCTCTTGTTGAACCGGGAAATGGCCTAGTAATCAACCACATGAAACAAATCAATTTGATATCTGCCTGGCGTAAGGTGATTGATATGGTGTCTGTTACACCGTGTGTTAGTAAACAAGTGAACTCGCTATACAACACGTTCCTACAACCACTCAAATGTTAATTTTGACTGTTTTAACTTGAAAAAAGCTGAGGAAAGCTACAAACAAATGAAATCTTAGATTGATGACGTTCAATCGTGAATTAGCGTTGGTAAAAAGTAAAAATCATAAAGCTACATTTTCCGTAATGTCCTTGTAACACCTTCCACTCAAAATACACACTAGTGATTGTCTGAAAGAAAATGTTTCTGATTGTAATTTTGAAACGATTTTTTTTCGATTTTTACAATTATCATCTTGTTTTAAACGATACATTTCTCGCACATATCTTCCATCATCGTGTGGTTTTCAACGATGTTAACGTCTTACTGCCGTTTCCATTGGTTTATCTACCCTACTATCACACCAAACTAGTTCTCACTACGTTCTCGAAAACGGGCTTCAACTGTGTACGAACGGACTGGATTTACTAAGAACCGTTTGGGGTCTATTTACAAACGTCATCGAACGTACTCGAACGGGTAGGTCCTCTGGAACTTAGAACATCTCAAAATGTTCTCGTGGTCGTTACGTTCTACAATTAGAACGAGTGACAACGCACTAACGACGAGCTGGACGTACTACGAACGGAACCGTCGTACTTCAATCCTACTATAGAGACGTTTATTGAACAGTCTGAGGACGTATTGAGAACGAGGTAGAACTAATTGCAAACGGGTTTAAACCGATTAAGAACGTATTAAAGACTGCTTATGAACGAGTTAGCAAAATATAGCTATCACACTAAAACACGCTGGTACTGCGTTCTTCAAAACTGGTTTTAAACTGTGTGCGAACGGAATGAACGTAGCTGTCTAAGGTCTCTTACGAGCTTCATGAACGTTCTCAGACGGGAAGGTGATTTCAGAATTTTAAAATGATCCAAAATTCGATGGCGACCATACCGTTCTGTAATCAGGTCGTGTGATAACGTACTTCAACTTTACTAGACCAGGAACGTAATTGCCGTACTTCAATTTTCAACCCTACTAGGGACGCGTTATACAACGTTACAAATGCAATCGGATATCAATTGCAATAAGTGTGCACACCGACATGGTGCGATCTGAACGAACTGCGAATGAGATGGACGTGTTGAAGACTGTTTATGAACGAAGTAGCTAATCATTTTAGACATATTTCCCTACCACAGCCAGCTTTAGCCAGTTTTACGACTTTTTCGTAGGGCTGGAAAGAACGGTTGAGAACAAGTTTGGTGTGATAGGGGGGGTGGGGTAGTAACAATGGCGCCTCTATACATAAAAATATCCAGTGTATAATACTATTTTAAAGTAAATTATCCTGTATAATTTTGAATGCAAAACATAGTATAACTTAGTCTTAAATATTGTTTCCTTTTTTCAGTACAGCAAACAGTATTAGTATACACATTACCGTTAGGAGAGGAAGACTACAATCCAGGTATGTCTGATAAAAGTACGTACGGTGTTTTATATACTATGGGGAACTGTTTAATTAATCGTATTTAATTAGTTATGCCTCTATTCATACAACTGTGTTCAATATACGGAATACATATTTGCATCGGATTCATGGGTTTTTGAAAAATCGGGATATTAATCTTTATCTACCGAAAGGTTGTACCCATAATGACGTTATACCGAGGATCGTTGTTCATATCGAAAGGTGTTGTACCTACTACCTAAAGACCATCTACCAAATGACGATGTGCATTGCACCGAAACGTATTCCTAAGAAACAAATATCGTTTGTAAATGAGTTAAGAATGGTTTTTATTCATCAGTTGTTGACCAAAATACTCCCCAGTCACTTTCTAACTTGGCTTTCTTTGCTCTTGTGGTATGAAAATAGGACGTCTGGTAAGCATCGCGCTAATGCCCCAGTCACTTTCTAACATGGCTTTCTTTGCTCTTGTGGTATGAATATAGGACGTCTGGTAAGTTTGAAAATACAAAGCATAAAATACAGGGATAAGCAGTACGATTTTAGATTTTGTATCGATTTTGAGAAGCTACGGCCGACGTACGCCCGTCGTAGATCAGTCAAACGAAATTTACACCTTAACGCTCCTCCGTTTAATAAATGCTTATGACGCGTCCGAGCGTAACCAATGCAGTTATGTTTGTCTCTCACTTGCTTTTCGTTGTGCCATCGACTAAACACTGGATCCTGCTATAATCTAATTCTACAACTTCAAATATCATGGTTCGGTACAATGCTTTTCGATAAAACGCACGTTGGTAGAACGTCTGTCGCTAAAACGAGTAAAGCTCACGAAATGTTTCTACTCATATTATAAATAGATTCTGCTATCAATTTCTTGTGATAATTACTATATAGGATGAATTAAAAAGGCAAAAATCATGAGATGATATTGATATGATAACTGTTCCAGATTCAATGGATGACGCATACACATTGTTAAACAAACGATGGATGGTCCGAGAGTCACGAATCGTCGACATGACTAAAGAAGTTTGCAGGCGTAACATGAAACGCTATTGTGCAAGCGCCTTCGGAGGTTATTGTTGTAACAGAAGCCAGTATTGCTGTAAATATGCTCAATGTTGTGGAGGAGATCTGTACAGATATGGAAAATAATCCCGATCATTTCCTGGTTATTCCTCGCATACGGTTACACTGCAGAATGATCAACAAGGGATCAAGATATCGACGACATACTGTCCAGGCGACCAAGCGACATTGATAATTCCGAAAAGATGCCTGAACTATGAATTCTTGTCAAAAAGTATTATTTATTAGCTATCTGAACTATTCTGGCACAGTGACTCTATTCAGGCACAGTGACTTTATTCTGGCACAGTGACTCTATTCTGGCACAGTGACTTTATTCTGGCACAGTGACTCTATTCTGGCACAGTGACTCTATCCAGGCACAGTGACTGTTGTGGATTGAGATACAATAACAGCACCTTGACGTGTGTTGAGTAATTCAGAACCAGACACGATCAAGTTTAACATCTTTTACAGACTCATCGTAGTTCACGTCCATCTTGTTAAAATCCTAGAGGAATGATTTATTTATAGATCCTTTCCAAGGATAAACTGACGACTCAAACATATATGTTTAGTACAAATAGTGGTTGAAATAAAGATTTTTTAATGAAAATGTGTATTTTGGATGAGCCCAGTTCATTGTCAAATAATGATAGTTAAGAATGCCCCCTACTTTAAATGTTGTAAACCCCTCCACTTTATCATAAATACCCAAGAGGCGTTTACTTTTGAATGAAGCCTTGGTTTTGTACATATTAGACATCGTAAGCCACGCCCTCTCCATCTCTATCCTTCTGGAGATCCTTCTGCGATGCAACCGAGAGAGATGCTATGAGTATCAGAATGCATATTAGATGATATTTCTCATATTTTGTCAATACCAATATATGGAAGACATCTCCAACACGCCATCTCCAACACGTTGTGTGCCCAACATATTGCTTCAGATGACGGGAGCTTAGAAAATTTGAATTCACTCCTAGATATAGAAAAAATGATTTGAAAAGCGATCTATTTTCCTTTTTAAGAAAAGCTATTTCATCATGTTAGGGTCATTGTGATTCTGGTCATATGTGGAACTAGAGTAGTAAAGCTGACCGAGGGTCAAAACAGAACTCAGTTATCTTAGTTCTAAATATTTCAAAAATCCAGAATGATTTTTTACTTCCTGATTTGTCATTCCCTCTTTAGTACTTAAGACAATAACCGACTCGGGAATATTTTCCAAGAAAAATATCGAGAGATTATATCACGCGATACTAACTTCGAGAGTTAATTTGAATTTTTGACCTACCGGATGTTTGAAAATCAAGGATTGCGAGTCTCATACTGCACTGTTTTTCTTCAAACTTATACCATTAAAAGCAAAACAAAATTGCCTTTCTGTCAGTGCATTACTTTATTGTAAAGAGTCCTTTGTTCTAGCAGCGTTGTGGTCCCCAGCTGTGAGAAGGCCTTCTTACAGCTGGGGACCAAAATGCCGCTGGAAGTAGGGACTCTGTTTAAGAGAATAATGTACCAACAGAAAGGGATTTTTGTTATGCTTTGAATGGAACAAGTTTGAAGAAAAACGGTGCATTTTGAGACTCGTAATCCTTGATTTTCAAACATCCGGTAGGTCAAAAATTCAAATTAACGGTCGAAGTTAGTACCGCGTGTATATAATCTACCTGCTACAATAAGTAATATACCTGTTATAATAATAAACTTATGAAATGATGAGAATGCATGAATACCTCAGTTTTTGGCTCACATTACGTGTTACAAAGACCAACCACCCCACGTGTTGAGAAAGGGTCGAATGCAGAAGAGCAAATCACGTGTCATGCGTGTTTTTGGATCATTGTTCCCTACAAATGTTACGCGTGTAGGGAACAGTGAACATGTGTAGGAAAAAGTAAACACGGGTTCCAAAAACACGTGTTTTGCTCTTGTGGGGAGATGTGTAGGCCTAGTTCGGGGGTCAGTCAAGGACTGTAGCGAGACCAGAACAATAATAAGGTGATGTTCTAAAGACCTAAGACGGTTTTAGTGTATTTTCCTAAAGACGATAATATGTGCATTTTCGAAAATTAAAATAAATTAGATGATGTAAGACAAGAACAGTAGAGATGGTGATTTGGCACTGTTCCAATTTGTACCACATTGTATACCAACGTATGACCATGAATAAGGACCCCAATGCTACGCTTGACGTTTTCTATGCCCAAAATGCCGTCCGAATCTGGGAGGTGACGATACGTCGCTGCATTGCTCTCATATGCAATTTCCAGCCTATTTAATTCTATGATTAGAATGGTCCTTGCTGCTTGGCCAATAATTGTGAGCGTTTTGTACTGGTTATTAAAAATACCATTAATCATTTTAAATAGCCTGTCCTACTAGAATTACTATATTTGATTGGGATGTTATTGTTTATGACTACTCGCATATATGTAACCTGATTGGCCTTCTGTTCTTTCGTACATTTCTGTTGAAACAACAAAATATAATTGCCATTTTATCATTTTAAAGTCTACGTCGGATAAAGTTACTTAGATACTTAGTTATAACTTGATTTCCACATCATAACAACGCCTTCTCAATCTCCGTCCCTCTGCGATGCCCAGTACAGTATGAGAGCCTCGGAGATGCTATGAACATACTGATGTAATTTTCCGACTAATTTTCACATATTTTTGGTTCAGATCCTTTACAGTATCACAGGCTTCTTCAATGGACGTATAAACATTTACACATTTGCAAGTCAACGCCCTGGATTAACCGAAATAAACTTAGATTAGATAGGCCTATATCTACAGTGTGGGCCAAAAACCACCCCCTAGCCAATATTCCTGATAAATATATATATATATTTTTTTTAACAGACACACCAATAATGATACACCGATTAAGATGATTTAATTTGCCAGAAAGCGATATATAATAGAACATTTTTCAACAACCCTGGCTTTAGATATAGCCAATTATGTGACATGGGGGTAAAATGTTTTTTTATATCCTTGAGGAGCCCATTTTTAACAACTCATTTCAGTAATATTCAGAGTACATTTTTGCTCCTGGTTCAACAGGGTCGGTCTTTCCCTTTTTGGAAACACTGAATGACATCACTACCTTTTCAGAAAAATGTCAGCTCGATTTGAGTAGCCTTTTATCGCAAATGTCACTCTTCTTGTTTACTGTTGATTACATGTATAGTACTTTGGAGCATTTAGAACAGTTGGTCTATGAAGATCACTAGCCTATCGGGGATGTAGACAAACTGAAAGAACGAATTATTAGGAGTTGGATGGTATTTCCGAAGAGAAGGTGGGCAAGCCATACGATGGACAGGTTGGTGAAGAAATGAATTTGCTTTATAAGCATACACATGTATTTTAAGCATGTACGGTTCAAAAAATGAATGAAAACAATGTACAATATCCAGTTGGGAAAGTCTTGTGACAATGATGCAAGTTTTAACTGAATGGTAAAATTTGGTAGAAAAAGGTTAAATGTTTACAAAATCGATTAAAATTGAGAAGGTGTTTTTTACCCCCATGCCACATAAATGGTTAAACCTCAAGCCAGGGTTGTTGATAATTGTTCTATTATATATCATTTTGTTGTAAATTAAATTATCTTTAAAATGATATACCATTATCGGTGTGTCTAAATATTTACCAGGAATATTATTGGCTAGTATAGGGGTGTTTTTGGCCCACCCTGTATAAGAGACAAACACGATCTAAAACCATGAATGCTCTTGAAAAAATATTTATCTGATTCTCCTTTAATTAGTTGAAATTAACTTTCTCGAAAAGGCAATTTGTCATTCACAATGACATCGAAATTACAAGACTATTTGTGTAAAAGTGTAAAATTACAACTTCTGCCTAATACACATCCGTTTTCGCTCCTAATAATTACAATAAGGCCATGAAGTTCTGACGTACCGTAATTACGGTAAATGCATGTTTAATGCCGAATAGCAATCTAATCAACAAAACTTGTTATTACCATTAGTATGAACTGCTAGTTTCCATGATCCACCCTATTAGAATTAGAGTCCCAAAGGAACAATGTGAGCTTTAATTTGAAATTGGATATGAGCTCTACGCAAGAAACGTAGAAGTACGATATGAGTATGGGGCGGGGGTGGATCGGTAGTCTATTTCCAAACCTGAAGTCTCCTCTGTGAAGCTTTCAAAAGAAAGGGTCATTGTTAAGTTTTTTTTTAGATTTTAGATAAGTATTTTGTGAATTTTCATGAGTTTGTTGAGATTAAAATGTCGCTTTCAAAGCTACTTGACTGATAAACATAATCGCATCAATGACGATGCTGTGAGTGACCTTGGCGACTTGCCCGATGACCTTGGCGACTTGCCGGGCATGCTGCACGCCATATAGCAGGTGTAAAACGGCTGTAGAATGGGTGTAGAATGCTGTAGAATACTGGTTCACGTCCCCTTCCTTCTTTCCCTTCGTTCCCTAGTGTTAATTTGTAATACAAGCTTTGTGGTTCGCAATGTGGGATTCCGTTCGCGAGTGGAGAAATATGTTCGGGAAAGAGGGTGGTCGCGACTAAAGAATCGATATTTGCGTTGTGAGAACCGTGGTTCGGGTGGAAGTTCAAGGAACGTAGTTCGTGAATAAACCTAGTTTGCTGTAACGAATTCAAATTGCTGAACTACTAAAACACTTAGATAATGTAGGCTTAAATGTTGTCTACTAAAACGCCTAGTTAAATTTTCAGATTGTTTGAGCAAAACTAAAAATGTGAGTTCACTGATTACAAATTTACAAATTGTTGTAAACAAAAATTGCTGTTGTCCCATAAAATAGTCCCATAAAATAATTTAGTGACATAAATGGCAATAAGAGTTCCAGTAATGTCCATTAGGAACAACATGTTTTTTTGTATTTTGTTTTGATCAGACACATGTTTTAATAATAGTCTAATTAAATCCACAGATTTCAGAAATCTTCTTGTTATTGTCTTCTAAACGCATTTTTGTGCATAAGATTACCGTAAACCAAACAAGAATGTATAAGATACACGTTATATTTTTAAATGTATCCCTAATTGTCATCTCACGCAGAATTTGTATTATTTGATTAAAATTTAAGTTTTACCACCCCAGTTTTATGTATTGTGCACACTTGAGTTCATAAAATGCAAGATACGACTCTCGGTAGACTGAGAGTAAGAAGAATGTTTTACAATACATGTGTTGAAATCGTAAAAGTCACATCAACAAATGATTCACTTCATCTGGTGTGCCCTACGAGACAACAGCATCATGAAGATTCTCACTTGCACTGTCATTCTTCTACTCGTTTTCGCATCAGTCACCGATGGCAAAAGGAAGAAAGGGAAGAAGCCAAGTATGCCTGGATGCAAGAAAGCTGATATCACTAAACTTAAAGACACACTGAAATCTGATTTCATTGAACTTGAGAATACGGTGGGGTCTAATATAACTGAACTTGAGAGTACGCTTGGGTCAAATATTGCTGACCTGAAGTCTGAATTCATCAAGCTAGAGGTGAAACTGCTTGCCAAATTAGATGAAATTAAAGATCAGCAATGCTGTAGCAAAGACGGCGATGGCAAAGACAATGGTAAATATTTGTAAGTTTTGTATGAAGCATGAAAAAGTTTTGTCTTAGTGTAGATCTCGTAGTCTTACCAACTCCAAAATTATTTTCCCACTAGCTCTAATATGTATGGTTACTTACTTACCGGATACATATGGTAATAAGAATAAAAGTACTGAGGCATACGATCAGATAGAAAACGATTATTTGAAAAAAATAATGAACGAGGAATATTTGTTTTCCAGATATCGTAAACAGGGACTGCTACACAGTAACATCCAATTCTGGGAAAGTTGCAGATATTGAACTTGTATCTGGTAAAACATTCCGGGCCTTTTGTAAGCAGGGTTGGCTGTCTATTGCTCGAAGATTTGATGGTTCGGTTAATTTCTATCGAACATATCAAGAGTACGAAAAGGGATTTGGCAACTCATCGGGAGAATATTTTATCGGGTTAGAGAATTTGGCTGGCATCTTAAGTCAAAGACCATACAGACTGCGCGTGGAGCTCACAACATGGTCACCTACGGAGGTGAGGTATGCTGATTATTCAACATTCAAAGTTGCGGGTAAATCCGACAAATACCGTTTGACTATTGGGGGCTATAGCGGTACTGCATCAGACTCTTTGAGAAGGCAAAATGGTATGGCATTCAGTACAAAGGACATGGATAATGACGTTTACAGTGATAATTGTGCAAAGCTGTACACTGGAGGTTGGTGGTATGATGCGTGTCACGAATCAAACCTTTTTGGAACGTATTACAATCAAGGCGAAAGTCCATATGGCAAAGGGTTGAACTGGCGTCACTGGAAGGGGTACCATTATTCCTATAAGGAGATAGACATGAAAATATACCCCATGTAAATCACAATGAATGGACCGTTTGTTAAACAAAAATAATTCAAACTTTTTTCAATGCATTCTCTCTTCGTGTGATGTTGATAAAATTGTGAGGTCAGAAAATGTAAAAATCAATTTCAAAGTGGATTCAAAGATGTAAGTTATAGCTCTGTTCTCAATACAGTTTTTTAGTCTGTATTTCAGTATTAATTATCAAACTGATAGGAACGTGAAGAAATGAATTTATATGCCAAATACTGTCTTTCAACTATTAAGTTATTTCCATTTGATACTTTTAGAGCAGCCTTTTTGGAATAACTTATCTTACCTTTAATAAAGGGATATTTTCTGAATATATAAGCAGAAATGCCAAAGGGAAGGGTGACTAAAAACTTTAAAGAAACCCAACAAGAAAAGCAAACTGTAAGTGTAAATCTGTCATAAGAAAAGTAGACCCTATACACCCCAAAACCATGATCTAACGTGAAAAGAAACAATGTCTAACATCCCCCTCCCCCCTCCAATCGAGAACCAATATCACAATCCAGGACCAGAACACCAAAGGAAATTTCATTCATACTGAAGTCATTACAGTACATGCATGTTGAAGAAAAATTGAAAAAATTCATAGCCAATACTCATAACATCAAAAATAGTTGTAGATACTATAGTACTCATAAAAGAGTATTCAGTCTCAAATGATGTGGGATAGATAAAATCCAGTCTCGAAGTCCATAGGCAATTCAAAGGGTCAACATCCGTTCGCAAAAGTATTTGACCTCCAAAAACGCTGTTGATTGATGACCAACTATTTGATCATATTATTTTTGTTTCGATGGTTTTCTCATTATTCTGAATGTGCTAAAATGTTAGGAAATGTTGTTGGCTTGTCTAGGTTGAAAAGAACTATTCATTTAAAACACAAGTTTTTGAAAGTTTTGAAATAAAGTACGAACTTGCTTTATCTCTAGTTACTGAACTTAACTGACAATTATTTGAGCATCAATCCTTTATTCTGATAGTATAAGGCCTTATTAGCTCCCCTGTCATCCTAAGTTGCTTGTAATATAAGATAAGTCCTGATGCAATTTATTTTATGAAGACTGCTATTAGAACTGACATCGTAAATCACAAGTAATATGATGAGTGTATATTTTGCTTTGAAGATAATCAAATCATTCCAAAAATTTGCTTGCAACCCCGTATTTAGTACAGGGTTGGCCAAAAACCTGTACTCATTGAAAATGAAATAAAACTGTATTTATTTCACATGATGCTCTTTAATATCACCTCTTTTCCCCAGGTACAGTGTACAATCGTGATTCAAATCCAGTAATAAAAATGGAAATATTGAAATACGTATTTTTACCAATTTCCTTTATAAACGTAATTATTTCAGCATGTTTTGTTCGAAAACAATAGAAGATGGTCGCATATTTTAAGAATATTGCATTAATGACAAAACTTTAGGAGAATTACAGTATCATACTGGTTACAAGTTACTTTGTGATATGCAATTTTAGGAGATGGGTGCGGGGATTACCCTGCGCGCAGAGTTTAGTTATAAACTGCCAAAGACAAGCCTCTCTTTAAAAAGTGAAGTCGAACGAATGTAAAGGGTAAACTGGGATCGAACTATTTTTTTGATTAAGAAAAATCATTAAAACCTCTTGTCCACTATGGGGATTGTCTGCGGCTATTAGCAGGGTCGGATTCAAAGATAAAATGCATCAAGATCGTTAATATATACTTTATAACTCGCAAAACAACATCTCTCCGGAGTAGCGAATCCAACCGAAACGAAACGCATGTACACGCGTCATTTTTGAACATTGCGTGAGTAATAATCATGAAGTAAGATAAAGTATTGTCTCATTTTTGTATGAAGCATGAAAAAGTTTTGTCTTAGTGTAGATCTCGTAGTCTTACCAACTCCAAAATTATTTTCCCACTAGCTCTAATATGTATGGTTACTTACTTACCGGATACATATGGTAATAAGAATAAAAGTACTGAGGCATACGATCAGATAGAAAACGATTATTTGAAAAAAATAATGAACGAGGAATATTTGTTTTCCAGATATCGTAAACAGGGACTGCTACACAGTAACATCCAATTCTGGGAAAGTTGCAGATATTGAACTTGTATCTGGTAAAACATTCCGGGCCTTTTGTAAGCAGGGTTGGCTGTCTATTGCTCGAAGATTTGATGGTTCGGTTAATTTCTATCGAACATATCAAGAGTACGAAAAGGGATTTGGCAACTCATCGGGAGAATATTTTATCGGGTTAGAGAATTTGGCTGGCATCTTAAGTCAAAGACCATACAGACTGCGCGTGGAGCTCACAACATGGTCACCTACGGAGGTGAGGTATGCTGATTATTCAACATTCAAAGTTGCGGGTAAATCCGACAAATACCGTTTGACTATTGGGGGCTATAGCGGTACTGCATCAGACTCTTTGAGAAGGCAAAATGGTATGGCATTCAGTACAAAGGACATGGATAATGACGTTTACAGTGATAATTGTGCAAAGCTGTACACTGGAGGTTGGTGGTATGATGCGTGTCACGAATCAAACCTTTTTGGAACGTATTACAATCAAGGCGAAAGTCCATATGGCAAAGGGTTGAACTGGCGTCACTGGAAGGGGTACCATTATTCCTACAAGGAGATAGACATGAAAATATACCCCATTTAAATCACAATGAATGGACCGTTTGTTAAACAAAAATAATTCAAACTGTTTTCAATGCATTCTCTCTCCGTGTGATGTTGATAAAATTGTGAGGTCAGAAAATGTAAAAATTAATTTCAAAGTGGATTCAAAGATGTAAGTCATAGCTCTGTTCTCAATACAGTTTTTTAGTTTGTATTTCAGTATTAATTATCAAACTGATAGGAACGTGGAGAAATGAATTTATAGGCCAAAGATTGTCTTTCAATTATTTTAGTTATTTCCATTTAGTACTTTTAGAGCACCCTTTTTGGAATAACTGGTCTTACCTTTAATAAATTATTTTGGGATATTTTCTGAATATATAAGCACAAATGCCAAAGGGAAGGGTGACTAAAAACTTAAAAAAAACCAACAAGAAAAGCAAACTGTAAGTGTAAATCTGTCATAAGAAAAGTAGACCCTATACATCCCAAAACCATGATCTAACGTGAAAAGAAACAATGTCTAACATCCCCCCTCCAATCGAGAACCAATATCACAATCCAGGACCAGAACACCAAGGGACATTTCATTTATACTGAAGTCATTACAATACATGTTAAAGAAAAATTGAAAAAATTGATAGCCAATACTCATAACATCAAAAATAGTTGTAGATACTCATAAAAGATAGAGTATTCAGTCTCAAATGATGTGGGATAGATAAAATCCAGTCTCAAAGTCCATAGGCAATTCAAAGGGTCAAGATCCGTGCGCTAAAGTATTTGACCTCCAACAACGCTGTTGATTGGTGACCAAATATTTGATCATATTATTTTTGTTTAGATCATGGTTTGATTTTTTCTCATTATTCTAAATGTGCTAAAATTTCAGGAAATGTTGTTGGCTTGTCTTGGTTGACAAGAACTATTCATTTAAAACAACTTTTTGAAAGTTTTGAAATAAAGTCAGAATTGTTTGCTTTATCTCTAGTTACTGAACTAAACTGACAATTATTTCAGCATCAATCGTTTATTCTGATGTATAAGGCCTTATTAGCTACCCTGTCATTCTAAGTTGCTTGTAATATAAGATAAGTCCTGATGCAATTTATTTTATGAAGACTGCTATTAGAACTGACATCGTAAATCACAAGTAATATGATGAGTGTATATTTTGCTTTGAAGATAATCAAATCATTCAAAGAATTTGCTTGCAAACCCGTATTAAGTACAGGGTTGGCCAAAAACCGATACTCATTGAAAATGAAATAAAACTGTATCTATTTCACAATGCTTTTTAATATCAACTCTTTCCGACAAGTACAGTGTACAATCGTGATTCAAATCAAGTAATAAAAATGGAAATATTGAAATACGTATTTTTTCCAATTTCCTTCATTACGTAATATATTTCAGCATGTTTTGTTCGAAAACAATTTAGAAGATGGTCGCATATTTTAAGAATATTGCATTAATGACAAAACTATAGGAGAATTACAGTATCATACTGGTTACAAGTTACTTTGTGATATGCAATTTTAGGAGATGGGTGCGGGGATTACCCTGCGCGCAGAGTTTAGTTATAAACTGCCAAAGACAAGCCTCTCTTTAAAAAGTGAAGTCGAACGAATGTAAAGGGTAAACTGGGATCGAACTATTTTTTTGATTAAGAAAAATCATTAAAACCTCTTGTCCACTATGGGGATTGTCTGCGGTTATTAGCAGGGTCGGATTCAAAGATAAAATGCATCAAGATCGTTAATATATACTTTATAACTCGCAAAACAACATCTCTCCGGAGTAGCGAATCCCACCGAAACGAAACGCGATGTACACGCGTCATTTTTGAACATTGCGTGAGTAATAATCATGAAGTAAGATAAAGTATTGTCTCATTTTAGCAAAATTTAATGCCATGATGCAACGTGATCCCATAAGACCTTGGATACACGCGTTATTTTTGAACATTGCGTGAGTAATAAACAGGAAGCAAGATATAGTATTGTCTCATTTTAGCAAAATTTAATGCCATGATGCAACGTGATCCCATAAGACCTTGGATACAAAATTAGATAACAGCAAGGAAAAGATGTAGCAAATCCAATCGAACAGCCATAAAAATCTAAAATGGATGCCATTTTTGGAAATGGAGACATAGCCAAACCGTCATTAGACAGTGCACAACGTTGTACAGTACAATACGTACCGTATTCACATATACTTCGTTCGATGGGATAATTTAACTGGCGGCCATTAACGTCATCTTGAAAACTCTTTTTAACAGAGATCCAACGTGACACCATAAGGCATCAACAAAGTAAAATATGAGCCAAATCCATCGAGTTGTAATGAGTTATCAGATTATAGTTTTCAGTAAACTAGTCGGCCATTTTGAATTATTCAGCTACCTTGAAAAGGATTGGTATCGATATGGCGAACTGAATTGAACACATGTTTCTCTTAAACCAGTCATAAAAAATTCTGAAAATTTTACACATCGTCAATTTAATGATCATCTTTTGAATGGTAACAATTTAATTTGAGAATATATTTTTTTTCTCTACATTGTTTTAGAAGACACATCAGACACTTTTGTTCTCAGTATCATATGTTCGGAATGAAGTGAAACATCTATCCGAACCTCATTGGAACAAAGTGACATATACATCTTGTTAATGAAATAAAAGGTTTTCTTTAATTTCAATCTATTTATGAATCAAACTTTCATTTGTATAACTATAATATTGAGAGATCTAAGAAAATGTTGCATATGCTATTTTGTTTCAACAAGGTTCGGAGAGAGCTTTTATTTCATTCTCAAAAATTTGTTGAAAGAAGCAAAAAACAATTGCACTAAAAAACAAAAATTGTTCACAAAAACAATGATATAAAATATACATAAATAATTTTCGCATTAAATTGTTGTCAATCAGTGACCATTACATGAAGGATGTGTTTTTACAGAATGTTTTCAATAATTGGTTTTAAAAATTCTATACTGGTATTTAAGTTATTTAAAAACATTCCAGAGACCATCTCTGCTTTTCAGCAGAGCTTTTACGTCTCGAAGCCATCAGCATATCACAGTTATAAAAGTTCAAATTTTTACGAAAAATGCTGACGGACGGTCGGCTCCTCTATATCCATCCCAAAGATCGTTCGATGGGTTAACTACACTTTTAGAGCGTGTCATCCCAACCCAAAATATGACATATGCTAAGCGAGTTAAAATGTTATCAATTACATGATTCAAATTCTCTGATATAAATACGTCCATTCTTTCAGCACTTTTCAGAGTGCAATGTAAGGCTAATCCTGAAACACGAGCTTGGGGACAATGTTCTACACATATAAAGCTTGCTGTAAATGAAATAAATGTATAATCAGATTATTTAAATATTGTTTCTTTACTAAGCCGGATAAGTTATTGAGTTTCAAGCCATCATGACCATTACATCTTCTCAAGTTATTAATGTGCATTACAAGAGTTCTATACAAGTTACCACTATTCTTTGCCATGGTAACAAATATCACCAATAATCTGTTCAGACTTATTATACAACATGTCTGTGTAAGTAAAAGTGTCGAGTGAATCTGATATTACCTCTGACGATATCACGAAAGATAACAAAGGACACAGGTTACATGTCTTTAAATCATTGCTATGGTATCAATTTAACAAATATTGCAAAAATCTCCTCTAACTCAGCATAAATCTTCATGTGTTCAATGTAGATATCCATATAGAAGTTAAAATGTTACTGGAAATTACAAAAGTGGAACAATTGTACACATATAGTGGTGCTACATGTCAGTCACAAAATTGGGTGTATAACAATATTCGAAGTCTCATCATCAGGTTGGTTTGTAACATTATGAAATTGCACATACATCTGAATTTGAAACTGATGTACTAAAACAATGTTGAAGTCATATCGAATCCCAACCAATTCATACTAGACTAGCCCAGATCTCCATTCATATTATTTCAATTTTGTTTCATGAACTATCTTCTATAACTTTTTTTAGTAAATTCAAGCTAGTAAACATCTCTCCTGTAACACAGCCTGTCCCCCAGGAAAAGTTGAACCAAGTTTGGCAATGCATTGTTAGAGATGGCTGGACAGACACTAGGAAGAATCACATTCCACAACTAAATTATTTATGATGCCATGCTTTCGATCATTCAATGATTACATCAAGTGAGATATCTGGCAATTGAATCAAGATTGATATCTCTTTAATAGGTTTAGCTCTACGTCATATATTTGTAGATGTACATTGTACAATACTTGTAATAAATATCAGACACAGTGTAACCAAATTATACCATACATTCAAACACAAAATATTCCATTCTATATCTCCAAAGTTTGAGAAAAAGTTGGGTAGGCCCTACCTAATAGCTATATAACAAGAGGGATAGGATATAGGGTTGATCAAGATATACAGGGTGGGGCAAAAAAGGTAACCCAACAAATGTCACGTTTAGGTTGCAAGCTTTAACTCCATAATGTCTATACTATCAACCATAGAAGCATCAGAGTTGAAACAAGAGATTCGAACGGAGATGAGAGATCACACAAGATGTGTGTCTTCAGAAACGAGGCTTTCATTAAAAGCATGTTTTGTAAAATGGCCATAAAATTGTGACCATCGAGTTCAAGTATTATTCCGGGATTGTGCCTTTTATAAAATGGTGGGCAACACCAAAAACGAGCAATCAATTTGCTAAACAATATGCGTTACCCTTTAAACCCACGCTGATTGACTACATTTGTTTGGGTTACCTTTTTTGGTTCACTCTATAGGTGTTTACTGAAACATTAACACCAATCATGAGAAAATAATGACTGAGAGTAGATATCAATATTTTCCAAAAGGATCCTGACAAGTGACTAACTAAACATTCAATATTACATAAGATTGATGCATTACACTTTGTTGGCATGGCAATTCCCTTTCTAATTCTGAATTCAAACATACACAACTATTTACACAATAACAAAAAATTCTTTTTTAGCAAGTATTTTTTAAGGTAAAATATTTGAATTAAGGCAACTGAAGTATAGGTGATATCAACACCATATCTGTCCAAATGTTCAAGTAATGTAGTATTGCAGAAATCAAGAGATAAAATGTATTAAGATAGCAGAGAAAATGTTTTTATCATGTATGTTACATCATCTTGCAAGTTTTAGACCAAAATTCAGAAAATGAGCCTAGCATCCAGTGATTGATATAAAAATGCCTAAATTAAAACAAAACGCCATCTTTTGTGTATTATATTTATTGTTTCATATTAAAATATAATTTAAGCATAACCTGAATGAACTAAAATTTAAAATAAAGGATGGATAGTTGACATATACAACATTGCATTGGATAAAATGCATCAACATATATATCTACAGACATATATATATTTATCAATTTATCAACAATGTATTGCCAAATAGTCAAAATGGAAATTGTATTTGCATGTAAAATATCAAAATTTGGTATGCAAATATTAACAAAATCAGATCATCCATATTTCAGTATTTGAATTACCCCCAGACAGATGAGGGAATGGACAGGTGGACTAAAGTATATTTATGTATGAACTATGAAGTATGGAGGCATTATTTATATCAACATGAAGTTCATCAATTACATTCCTCTTAGTGTTCTTGTTCATCCAGTGTTCCTTGCAATGACCACATAATGCTGTATGTTGTTTGTCACACTACTAAAATAAAAAAAAACACTATACTAAAATATCAACAAACAGAATCTAGTAATCTACACACATGAGCAGCAATGTCAGCCTAGGAATGATCAGTAGACAAGGCGTTCATGGTTTGAGCACGCTGCCTGCTTATTTGTAAATAAGTGACATCTATGATATAGACTAGAGACTAATGTGGTTCACACTTTTCCATGTTGCTTATCTCCTCCAGAGTATCTATGTAAATTTTCCTTTCTTCAATTGGGATGTCCTGCCACCTATTGGCTCTTAACTCTACTATTTCCATCAATTGGCACCTAGCTTTTTCAGTAGTACTAAAAATACAAAAATATGTCATATAAAATAATGCGCACTATATGATGATCAAATATGGTTGCAATAAAGAAGTATATTTATGTATATCAGTTTCTTTTAATGGAATGGCAGGAAAATGTTATATCAAAATGAGAAAACCCAAATAAAATGTCTCAAAATATCAAACTAGTAAACTAAATTAAATGAATTCAAAAAAATTAAAAGAAATGTTTCCTTATGTGTAGAAAAATATTTTGAGAGAGTTAGATAAAAGGTATTGTGACCTCACCCTTTGACCTTCAAAATCTGCCATGAAGGCGACCCTTTTTAATGTTTGGTGCATGAAAATAATAATTGTATTCTGGGGCATAGTTCTCTTCGATAGCATGACTTGTTTTAAAGTTTGTCTTGAATGAAAGCAAAACTTATCATTTTACTATTGTGGGGTTTATGAGATATAAAGTCCCCAGAACATGAGTAATACAAGACAGAAACAGATCACAAAGAAAGACTGTGACTATCATATCACAAATGAGTGAATGTTACAAATACCAAAGTGTTTAGCATGTATAATTTACCAGAGAACTTATTAAGCATATTAACATAGAAAAGGGAACCAACCTTGACTCTATGATTTTGATTCTAATGAGATTAAGTAAGGCTTGCATCCTCTCTGGATTACACTCTTCAAGTAGGAAGCCCATTTTCTTCAGCTAAATCATAAAACATAAGATTACACAGAAGTTCATTGCTTGACTGTCATTTATATGATCATGTAGCTAAAAATTAGGATCATGCAGAATATAACAGACACCTCATCAAGAAAAAAAAGGTGTGTGGGTTAGAACTGTTTTTAGATTTAAGGTTTTGAAAATGACACAAATTTTATCGCAAATATCCAAGTTTTCTTTATTTCCGAATAAAATACATTTAACCAGAACAACGGCAACGCCAAAGCGTAGCGAATCCCATCGAACAGAAATGGCTGGCATTTTTACAAAGGAATAGCAAATATCATAAAACAACACACCAGAAAGGCCACCATTTTCAAAATGGTTGCTCACTAGCCAAGTTGTCATCAGAAGAAATAATGTGCTTTTAAGTAGCCACTTTTTGAAAAATGGCACACGTACTTGTAAAATAACACACATAAAAATGGTGGCCATTTTTCAAAATGGCCGACTACTCCCCAAAGTTTTATTAGACAATATGCCATGCTTAAAGTATTCACATATCAAATATGAACAAAATCGCTCCACTACTTTTCGAGTTACAGTAAAATACGTTAAAATGGCGGCCATTTTTCAAAATGGCCACTGTCTACCAAAAGTGTCATTAGAAATAGACAGTGTGCCATGCTTATAGTATTCACATACCAAATATGAACAAAATCACTCCACTACTTTTCGAGTTATAGTAAAATACATTAAAATGGCGGCCATTTTTCAAATTTTTTTTCAAAATGGCCGCCTTCTACCAAAAGTGTCATAGGACAGTGTGCCATGCTTATAGTATTCACATACCAAATATGAACAAAATCGCTCCACTACTTTTCGAGTTATAGTAAAATACATTAAAATGGCGGCCATTTTTCAAAATTTTTTTCAACATGGCCGCCTTCTACCAAAAGTGTCTTTAGACAGTGTGCAATGCTTATAGTATTCACATACCAAATATGAACAAAATCGCTCCACTATTTTTTGAGTTATAGCAAAAATTGTAAAATAACGAGTAAAGGCCGCCATTTTTCAAGATGGCTGCCATGTGCTTCTTTAATATCTACATTTGTAGCATTATTAATGTCCTTTATAATTTTTTTACATTTAAAACATATTGCTATTACAGTTTTACATATTACACCTAAATTACTGTAAAATCATCACTAAAATGGCCGCCATTTTGAAATGAGTGGCCATTTTGAAAATCGGCTTTCGAGCAGAACTTCTACCCCCATAGGGTATATGTGTACAAAATATGAACAAAATCGGGCCAACGGTATTTGAGTTATTGCCCGGACGGACAGACAGACAGACGGACGGACGGACGGACGTACGGACGTACGTACGGACGGACGGAGGCGTTCCCTATATCCCTCCGAACTTCTTTCGATGGGATAATTAGCATTACTGTTTGAAAAGGAAGCATATAAAATACAAAATTTGCAATCATTTGGATTGACTTTTTTGAATTGTCACGGGTACTAGAATTCTGTTTTTCCGTGCCGCAGCAGAAAAAATGCTGAATTTTTAGTTTTGCAAAATATTGAATTTTCTGCTGATTGATTTCATGATTTAGATGCAAATAAATCATTATTTTGCTGAAAAAAATATGGCAGTCTTATTTTTATTTTCACACTATTTAAACACAAAAAGGCTGTGAAAAAATGCAGCGATAAAATGCAGAATTTTACATTTTGGCTTACAGAATTCTTGTACTTGTGAATTGTGATGACAGAGGAAGCAATTTTTACTGTGAAAGTGGACAATTTAGTAAGGCATAGCTGATATGGGTTACTCACTTGTGTATAGCATAATGTAATTTCTACATCTTTAGCAGTCTCATATAGCAGCATCTCTAAGCAGTCAAAGACAGGGATGACAAGAGGTTTAAAAGGCTCCCCTGTGGCACTTCGGAGTGTGTTAAACACTGAACACAAATAGCTCACTCCACCAGAGAATCGAACTATTGACTGACTTCGCAATTTACCTTTATCTAAAGCAAAAAGAGTTATTTATTAAGGACTGTTATGCAATACATAATGGGGCATCTTCTTTGCTCTTGAATTCAATTCATGCAATTCAATTACTGAATCCTAAACATTAGACATAAAATGAATGTACAGTAGATACAACCTACAGTAATGAGAATAGCAGTTTTATATTTGAACCACCAATGTTGATGAAAGGATGGATGTCTGGACAGACAGTCGGATGGACAGATGCCTGGTCAATACCATAAGCTAATACCAGAAATACATGTAAAACTCAAAGTGAATGTCTATGAAACATAAACAGAATCAGACCATTGGTATTTGAGTTATCCAGATTGACAGAGGCATTCTCTATATATCCACACATTTTGTAAGGTAGAATAACTAACTACTTGGAAGATGTAAATCTGGTTCCTAGTAAGTAATACTTACTTTTGAAATCAGCCTGGATAAGTTTCAGCATATTTGCCCTGTATTTCTGACCAAAATCAGTCTTGACTAGTCCCTGAGATATACTTGCACCTAGCATACCAAACATTGGGTGCTCTGTTGTATGCTCATGTATGGTCTAAAATATATCAGTTATATGTTCTACAATCATGTTAATATTCTTTACTGTTTTTATCATATTCATAAATACAATCACACATTGTATCATCATGATCAATCAATATCATGAAATTGTTTCACAGAAAACTTTGAGTCTGAGATCAACGAAAAACAAGTCTTATATACTAAGTATATCTTTATATCTTAAAAAATGAGTGAGAAATTAGAAATTCACAATCATTGATACTGGAGTTCACATGCTTATTCAAGGCCCTCATTGGGTCAATAAAGTAACTACACAACTATCTATTGTTCTACTACTAAGAGTCGGCAGTGTTGTAAAGTATATTATGAAACTGCATTGCATAGAATAGATTTAAAAACAAGAACACAAATGTGTACAAAATGTCCCCACCAAGTGGTGATCCCATGAAATGGTTATCCTGAAAATGAGTAGACAAGACTTTACCAACACAATTTGAGGACGGAAAATCCAAAGTGGCCACCTTAAAATTTACCCAGAATACCAAAAATTTAGTCAGTTCTAGATTTTCATAGTAAGAACCACCCCTGAAAATTTGAAATTGATCCGTCACACAGTTAACCAGAAAACATGTAAACAAGACTTTACAGACAAGATTTCAGGATGGAAAATCCAAAATGGCTGCCTTGACATTTACCAAGAATGTCAAAAAACTAATCTGTTTGTAGATTTTCATACTAAGAATCATCCCTGAAAATATGAAATTGATCTACCAAACGGTTTACCTGAAAACGGGTAGACAAGACTTTACAGACAAGATTTTAGGACAGAAAATCCAAAATGGCTGCCTTAACATTTACGCAGAATGCAAAAAAAGTAATCAGATGTAGATTTTCATACAAAGAATCATCCCTGAAAATTTGAAATTGATCTATCAAACTGTTCACCTAAAAACGCGTAGACAAGACTTTACAGGCAAGATTTTAAGACGGAAAATCCAAAATGGCTGCCTTGACATTTACCCAGAATGCAAAAAAACTAATCAGTTCTAGATTTTCATACTAAGAATCATTCCTGAAAATTTGAAATTGATCTACCAAACAGTTCACCTGAAAACGAGTAGACAAGACTTTACAGACAAGATTTTAGGACGGAAAATCCAAAATGGCCGCCTTGACATTTACCGAGAATGCCAAAAAACTAATGAGATCTAGATTTTTATACTAAGAATCATCCCTGAAAATTTGAAATTGATCCACCAAACGGTTCACCTGAAAACGCGCAGACAAGACTTCACAGACAAGATTTTAGGACCGAAAAATCCAAAATGGCCGACAATAAAAAAGTCCTTATGAGTTTTTGCTGATTTCTTTTTACAAAATTATCACATATAGCTACTGTTAACAATAAAGTAGGCTTTTACAGCAAAGTACATCTGAAATTATTTATAAAGCTACTAAATAGTTAAAGTATGAAAACTCAAAAACACCATTCAATATGATACAAAGTATTATCGCGCGCTAACTTTTCTTAAGACATTCAAAATGGCTGACATGACTGAGCTAGCAGGTCCAAAACCTAATCAGATCTAGAATGAAGTGAGCTGAACAAGATGTTAAAGTTTTAAAAGCAACTGTGAAGCAGTTTTTCTTAAAGTTTGCAGACAAGGATTTTAGCATTTGACTTCAAAATGGCCGACAGGAAGTAGGTTTCGAGTTAAATTTTTTTCATCCACATCTATAGGCACTCATAAGTTATTCCTGAAAATTAGAAGGTGATACCTGTAGCGGTTTTAGAGAAAACTGCCGGACGTACGGACGGACAGACAGACAACCAGACAGACAGACAGACGGACGGACGGACGCGCCTAGGACGACAATATGGCCCCACACTATGTGGTGGGGACATAAAAAGCTAGAAATAAGAGTTACATAAATCTTAAATTGTGTTTAACTGGCATGGATTATGATTATCTTTCCCTGTAAACCTATTGTTAAAATGGTCATCTCTCTTGTTATATACCAATGTTTTTAATTATAATATGGCAGAAGGACAAAGATGACTTACTTTACTCATTTGCTCAATGTTCTCATCTGAGGTTGCCAGTAGTTTAGCAGTATCAATAACAGATTTTATATAGCTTTCATCATCCAGTCTCATCTTGCTAAGCAAATCATCAAGGTCTTCACATGGTTTCTCCTGTTCTGTGAAATCTGATGTTGGAGTAGGCTGAAAGTTACAATTCATGTCTGTATTTTGCTTGTTACACTATGCTCGTTAGTTAGTCATTCCTTTGGGGTGACCTCGGGTCATAAGATGATCAAATATTATGAATTAAGTACTATTTTTAAAGTTACATCAAATGCAGTATATATGGATGAGGGTACATGTTATTTTAGTCCAAAACTTACAGATTGTTGTAAGGCTGACACCTTTAGTTTTAGTTCACAAAAAACAAAAAACTTGTAACCAGGAAGTTCATACATTTTGTTACATTGACGTTCTATCAAAGTAACTAGTTGTGGAACAGTGTAGTTGTTGATCAAAAGAGGGAAGAAAATAATTTGTCATATGGAATGTGTGACAATCAAATGAGTATTCACTTATCACATATGAACAAAATTGCTCTATCACTTTTTGAGTTAAATAATACTTAAAATAACACACGTAAAAATAGGGTCAATCTGCGCGAGGTTCTATTTTTTGTTGTTTATTGTGCAGTGCATGCACATTTATCTATCGATTTGATTGGTTCATGCACAATCAATAACTTTAAGAACATTTAATTTGAGATCATAGATGTCACTTACGTTCATTATTTAATGGCAGTCCCTAGTGTATAAAAGTATATACCCAACAGAAGTGTAATGTCAGATTATCAACTCGCCCAGAACTTGTAGACATTTGGTGTACATGCTTAAACAAAATCTGTCACAGAAAAGCAATTTGAATTCTGGGAATGGAGTACTTCCATCTATGCGCATGCACGAAAAAACCAAACTTAGTAAAATCGATCCTTGCACAGATTATCCCGACTCATCATAAGGAATCCTTTCAATAATCGCCATGCTGATTCAAACAACACTACAGAGCAAAGTTACCCAAAATGGTAGCAATCCATCCACTACACCCTTGGTATACGCAGCTAACGAAAATTGACCAGTACGGGTCAAAAGCTGGACCGGTACGGGTTAACGGTTTTATTTGAATTTAAAATAGCCATAACCTGCTCAATATTGACTTCCTCGTGTCTAATTTGAAATACATGTATATGATGCCTCCTGATGCTTTTAAGTACCCCAATTTTTTACAGATTTTTAAACGGACCAAAACTCTCTAGATGCGCATTTATGCTCTTTTCTCTCGAGAACGACTGTCTCATTTCCACGATAACTTTTATTTAGTACTTCTAACATATAAGATCTATTTTTCCCCATCAAGGTATGATGTAAATGACATGTTATTTACATCTTGTGAGTTTCAATGACGCGCGTTTGATTTTATAAAAAATGCCAAACTTTGTGACAAAGAATTTCATCAGCTATTGCCCCGAACCGGTCCGTCTTCTCGCTGCAAGCAGATTGCCCCGAACCGGTCCGTCTTCTCGCTGCAAGCAGGATGAAATTCTTTGTCACAATGTTTGGCATTTTTTATAAAATCAAATGCGCGTCATTCAAACTCACAAGATGTAAATAGCATGTCATTTACATCATACCTTGATGGGGAAAAATAGATCTTATATGTTAGAAGTACTAAATAAAAGTTATCGTGAAAATGAGACAGTCGTTCTCGAGAGAAAAGAGCATAAATGCGCATTTAGAGAGTTTTGGTCCGTTTAAAAATCTGTAAAAAATTGGGGTACTTAAAAGCATCGGGAGGCATCATATATTTCAAATTGGACACGAGGAAGTCAATATTGAGCAAGTTATGGCTGTTTTAAATTCAAATAAAACCGTTAACCCGTACCGGTCCAGCTTTTGACCGGCCCGTACCGGTCAATTTTCGTTAGCTGCGTATACCAAGGGTGCACTAGTTGCTGAGAAATCTGAAAAATATGTAAAGAAGTGATTAAAATGCAAGAACCAGCAATTTTCACATCCAAATTATTAGCTCCAGAATCGATTTCTTCCTCAAGACACGTCCACTGTTAAAAATTGGTAGTTCCTAGAGTTCTTTGTTTCCTTAGGTTCATTCCCGTATATTATTTTTAACGAAGGACAGCCTATAACGACTGCTATATGCAAAAAGATGCATGAAATTATCGTTTCGAAACTGAAAGTTGAAAAATGGCGACTTTCCCGTGTTCTATGCGCAGGTGCGTTCAATCCAGCAATTTGATTAGTTCATATTATATGAACGCATGCGCAATAACAACATATATTTTTAGATAGATATCACTTGCGTTCATTATTTCACAGCAGTCCCTTCCCATGATGCACCTAATATTCACAGCATTTATTGAAAGGATTCCTTATGTTTATACTGGATATATATCTAACAATCATTTTCTACAAATTTCAGGAAGCATCAAAAACGACCTCCCTTATACTCTTAATAAGAAGTACACACTCATCGGAAGGCTTGCCCGACCCTCCAGACAAGAACCTGTGGACCAATGTTGATTCCGACCATCTGTATTTGAACGAATGGGTTTCAGTTATCCCGTACCAGGACTATAGTCCTGCGAACGTCTTATTCTTTTGCCTGTACGATTACAATATGGGAGAATTTTCTACGCTTCTTACACTTAAGATACCTATTTCAATAGATTCCTTAGTATTTTAGCATTCTTTTCGTGTAGTTGAATCCACAATTGTCTGGGTTTATCGGCAGAACAAAGAAATTTTCGTTTTTAATCACAATGTTTGCGTGTAATATTTAACTTATTTCAACCATCAAATTCTTCCATTTATTGGTTATCCGGGCCACTTCCGGGTCAGTCAAACGGTGAATCCCCTTTTAAATCCAACCGCCATCTTGGAAAGTGATGGAATATCTCTCGATGAAAAAGAAAAATGTTCCCGTTCTGCCGATATACCCAGACAATTATGGATTCAACTACACGAAAAGAATGCTAAAATACCCAGGAATCAATTGAAGTACTTAAGTGTAAGGGGCGTAGATAATTCTCCCAAGTTGTAATCGTACAGGCAAAAGAATGCTCTCAATGCAGGACTATAGGGATAAGGTTTCAGACCATTTGAATTCAGACCATTTTAGTTTTGGCCGAGTGTGTTTCAGACCAATTGGATTCGGAACAATGCTGTGTCCTCGATATCGTCTGATCTTAGTTCTAAAAAAAGTTTTTTACCCAAGATCTAGATCTAGTCTATTATCACCCACCGAATTAGAAAAAACAAAAATAAGGTGATGCTATGTAGATATCCATGTAAGTTAGGTGACACAAATGACATTTCTATAAAAACTGAAAGTAAAATTGGGTACCTGAGCTTTTCCAGGCTCTCCAGGTCGCCTTAATTCCTTCAAAAGAAGGGCACCACGACCTCTTCCACGGCCCGCCATTTTTAAAGTTTTGGAGAAATTATTTTTTATATGTCACAATTTTATTCTATTAAACAGACAATATATATCAATAGTAATAACTGTATGTATTCAAAGGATTGTAGTGCTTTTATTATAGTTGAATCCTTTATTTTATCGCTTGTTTAATAGAAATCAAAGTTTGAACTCTTGTTGGAAAGTTGATCTGCTCATGCTCCCCTACAAGGTCAAGGTCTCTACGTGGATTCGCCATTTTCACAAAATAATATCAGCTAATTCAGTAAAGTGACGTGAAAGGCAGAATAATATAGCCAATAGATATTTCAGAGCATAGAAGGTAAGATATTTTTTTACCACTCGGTTATCTTTATCACGGTATGTAGACTAGGCTTTAGCACTCCCACAAATGTCAATGTGGGCTTGATTTGAAAAATGCAACATTTACAGATCTACAGTTGGGGACATAAATAAATGACAGGTGGATTTGCTGAAGTGAGGATTTCCCATGTTAAAAATAAGAGAATTTACAAGAGGCCATAAATCAGTGGATGAGATTATACAAAATGTAAAATATACAAATTTTAAGGGATATGTATCTAGACAATATTGGAAATTATGGGCTTTCAGACCACCATAATTAGGAAATGGTGATCAAATCGACCTGTCATTTATTTTTGTCCCCAACTGTACACTTAGGGCCCTAGAGTCCATTTCACTGCTTCATTTAAGAGGAGGGAAAACCCTAGACTGTATCCTTCGTCTGAATAAATATTCAGACTGTAAGTCACCTATTGTAAAATGTGGTGTTGTATAAATGTTACAAATAAGTTTGTTTAATGATAAAATGATTACCTTATAACGAACTTACAATATTATTTTTCGTATATTGTCCTCTTACTGAAGATATTCATAAAATGTACAGACGCTTCTTGTAGCGAAGCCATTGATTAGGTCAAGCCATTTTGGCAATGCCAATTCTCACGATAAACGAGATTTAGCCAGTGACGTCAGTCTATTTGTAAACAAATAACACGTGGAGCGGACGGAGCAACATTACGGAAGCGTATTGATAAATTCCATTTGTGCGGGAATTTATTAGATCTTGTCATTTATTATCATTATCCCGATTAACTTTCGTCATTTATAGTAAATAGAGCGGAAATATTCATGAAGAAGGCCGAGGTAATTAAGTGGTCATGTGTTGTCAAAGTTCAAAAATTTGCATATCTCGTTTTGATCTCGAGAACTCAAACGTCCTTGACATTGATTTCGCGATCTACTTATGAACACATCCTGAAGTTTTGGTGAGTCTGAACATTTCATTATTTTATATCAACTTGTACCCGCCTTATACAAATATTTTTGCTTCTAGTTTAAGATGAACATCTCTTCAACATATTCACCAATTTTCAAGGTGAACATTCTTGTAATAAACGAGAAATTTATGTGCAAAAAATATCACCGCGATTTCCACAGGAAATATATCAGTCATAACAGACTGAATATTATATTCGGTCTGTTGGATACATACTAGGGAAAACCCCATGATTCAATTGATGACATACGATTTCCTCCTTCGCACACCTCCTTTTGTCGAAAACGTACCCTCCATCTTGGTTTTCAAAGTTTTCAAATTGACCTAGTTTTAAACCAATCAACGATCAACTCGCTTAACCAATCAGCGATGATGTCATCTCAATACAGATTTACATTATAAGCGTATGTCATCTTTGAACCCTGGGGTTTCTCCCCCTCTTGCTTCATTTCGTCAGTAGAACGGCAAAAATAAGAAATTGGGAGACCATTGTGCAATAATATATGGAAAATTATATTCATAATGTACATGAATGACATTTGTATATTTCAGATTTTTTAGTTTTTGTGCAATAAGCCTGTGCCGTCTTGTAATTTGAAGAATTTCAGCCATGTTAAGGACAGGGTGCATGTTGGGAAGTTTTCTGCATTCCTCAATTGAGTCACATGTTATTTTTCAAACAAACTTTGTGCAAAACTGGAAGATATAGACAATGTGGGGAAGGAGTGATTCTTGTTTGAAAAATAACATGTGACTCAATTGAGGAGTGCAGAAAATTTCCCATCATGCACCCTGACCTTAAGGTGCCATGGAAGTTAACAGGAAATGACAAAACAGGAAGTGACAAAGCCATGCTGGATTTTGAAAATTTTTTGAAGCAAGATATCAGAGTTCTGTTTGGACCTCTAGTCAGTTTTACGAGTTCCACATATCATTTACATGACTGGGAACACAATGGAAATGGTCAGAATGACCATAAAAAATGATGAAATAACCTTTTCAGCCCTCTGAAAATGTGACTGAAAAATAGCTAAAAGTAGGTGCTCAGGAAAGGTCACTGAACAGAATCTTTCGATGTTTTCAGAAAACGTGTCCAATATATTGCTCTAAATGATACAATCTTTGAAATTTTAAAAAATTGTCTGAAACAATAATGGCTGTAGTAAAAAGGTAAATCGATCAATTTTCAATTCATTTTTTTTCATTTTTTTCTTTTTCTAAGAATGATATCAAATTTTTTTAAATTGTATCATTTTAAGCAATATATTGGGCAGATTTTCTGAAAAAGTCAAAAGATTCTGTTCAGTGACCTTTCCTTAGCACCTACTCTTAGGTGTTTTTCAGGCACATTTTCAGTGGGCTGAAAAGGTTATTTCATCATGTTTATGGTCATTCTGACCATTTTCATTGTGTTCCCGGTCATGTAAATGATATGTGGAACTAGTTAAACTGACTGGAGGTCCAAACAGAACTCTGTTATTTTGGTTCAAAAATTTTTCAAAATCCAGCATGGCTTTGTCACTTCCTGTTTTGTCATTTCCTGTTAACTTCCATAGCACCTTAATCTTATTGAAAATAACATGGCAGAGAAACATCCAAATATAAGAGGCCACACACTTTATAAGCCAAACTAGAAGCAATCCAAGATATACAAATGTCATTCATGTACATTATGAATATACTTTTCCATATATTATCGCACAATGGTCTCCCAATTTCTTATTTTTGCCGTTCTACTGACGAAATGAAGCAGTGAAATGGACTCTACAGATCTAGCCTAAGCTTAGGCTAAGTTACACAGTGCTCACCATAAATAAATGACACCTTGATTTGCTGAAGTGAGGATTTCCCATGTTAAGAAGAGAATTTTCAAGAGGCTATATATCAGTGGATGAGAGTATACAGAATGTAAAATTTACAAAACTAAGGGATGTGTATCTAGACATTATTTGAAAGTATGAAGTCTCTAATCAGTGACCATGGTCTGGAAATGTTGATAGAAAATCCAGGTGTCATTTATTTATGGTGAGCACTTTATGATCATCAACATGGGGGTAGGGAAGCTATATGGACCATATTTCAACAAGTAAAGGGAAATAGGCATGTAACGACCCTGGGTAGTGGGCACGCTAGAGATGTAATGAAATGAGCCAGATAGGCTACAAGACATGAAAGGGAGTGTGCGTAATTCAATGTGCCTTGCGGCAATCGAACCGAGGACCTTCCGCTCCAAAGTCTACAGCTAGGCTGTAGTAGCTACTTGCTATCAAGGGTCATTACAGGCCTAGAATTGCTTTCATGGCCTGACTTCGTCGCTAACATGCTAAATATAAGAGTTAGCTGACGTTTGGGAGTCTGACTTACCTTCTAAAGGTTAGAACCCGAATCTTAATGAAACCATATCACCTTTTTTCCGTCAACCATGGAGCATTTGCCACAACATCCAAGAGGTAAATCATGGACCGTGAAAATGAATGATTTCCTTGTAAGTTCCGGAAGTTTCAATATGTAAAATTACTGAACATATGTGAAAACCGAATATTTGTTCGTTGTTTTCACGATTTACAGGTTCGTTTGTTCTTTAATGTTTTGGTCTAAATTATAAACCATCACCAACAGGTCTTACTCTATTAATCGACTAATACAGCAGATGGCTCATATTTCTACGTAGCATTTCGTTCAGACCAATAGTGGGAGTGTAGATCACGCAGTTTCGTTCGTTGCGTACTTCACTTGAAATTGGTAATTTTAAATATTGGCTACTTCACTTAGCTTGGATGATGTAGAACATTGCTTAATATTCTTTTAATTTTCACACCAGACATACTTGGTTGACACGTCAACAAAGTAAAGTTCAAGGGTCAATGCGTTATTTCGTGATAACTACAACGCCTTCCCGGAAGTCAACATTGATGAAAAATGAAAAAGTCTGAAAAGTATTTACACTAATTTCTATCAAATGCTGTGTTTTAATGCATCATCATCGACGCAACAAAGGTGATATGGTTTCATTAAGATTCGGGTTCTAACCTTTAGAAGGTAAGTCAGACTCCCAAACGTCAGCTAACTCTTATATTTAGCATGTTAGCGACGAAGTCAGGCCATGAAAACAATTCTGGCCTGCAAATTAACATTTGTCCGAACTTTGTATTCCTGAGAATAAAGTAGATCTACTAGGAGAATAACAATAACATGCAACTTGTTTACATTACTTGTCATCCGTGTTTCACTCAATGTCGTCAATGGCAGTTTACTTATTTCCATGATTTGGCAAATAATGTTAAGACAATCCGAACCAAATTTTTCTTAAGCAGTCTTCAACAACAATCTAAATAAACATGATCTAGGATACAAGGGGATATGGGATGATATGCTTTTATTGATAAGGTACGCATGCTTGCTTGGATTTCATTATTTTAGGAATGACATCACAAGATCGGGAATTGAAACCTTTATATGCTTGATTTAAATTTCTTGCAGTGTTGGCACTCAGGCCCTTAAAGATCTAATAGCAAAGGTTTTGCAAAAATAAATCAATGTAGTATAAAACAAATGTATGTATAATGAAGAAATAAATATATAATGAAAAAAATAGATATCTGTTTGTAATATTGGTATAAACTTAAGATTAAAAAGTGTCACTATCTCTTTCACTTTTCAACAAATATAGGCTCACGTGACATGTGACGCGGGGCAGGCAATTTTGATCTATCATAGACCATATCAGTATCAAATTGCTGATATTTCAACCTCGTCTTGCGAGGCCATTTTGATTTGAAACATCTTGAATTTGGTGTCAAAATGAAGCTGGTCACGCCAACTTTCAGAGTTATCAATGAATCATTTACTACGACTACTATATTCATTTAGGCGCGTTTAAAGTTAACCAATCAGAAAGACAATTGTTCCATATATGGCAGTTCATTAACATATTCAGTGTTTACTATTGCTTTTCGCGTCATGACAACACGAGTAGTAACCAATCAAGATGCCGTATTTTATCACGTGAGTTC